CTTGCAGCTGGAGGGTCATCTCTGGGTTCTGGCTGGGGCAAGAAACCTCCAGAACCTAGAACTCGGGCGTCTTGGGTTATAGGTCCAGTGCATTTGCATAGTCGGGTCGATTATTTGTAATCTTAGAAAGGTTGTTTTCTGGTTTGTTTTGTTTTACCCCCTCATGTTCGAGAAAAAAAAAGTCCATTCGGATTATTATATTTGTAGAAGATGTTTATAAATCTTATACTTGATCACATTATCGTGAAAAGGTAAATGATATAAATTGTTGGTTACCATTCATGAAAGAAGACTGGAATTTCTCTCTGGCCATTCTTGCAAACTTGAATAGATGTTTATTCAAATCCAAATCTTTCGCCAATTCCTCAATATCCTTGACGTGAGGATCACATTCGATGACTGCTATGAAAGAAGAAGAATTTTGAGAAATAGACATGTAAAAAATGTAAAAAAAGAAGGGAGGTATACAACAGAGGCACTTGGCCAGACACCGGAAGGAGCTTCAACTCACATTGTAAACTCGGACTTACACGAAACGAGTATTCCTTCTCTGGACGTTGTGGGTCAATCTTGTTGTAAACAAACTTCACATCTTGAGGGGAAAAAAAACAAGATGCTTGTCAGGGAACACAGTGGCAGCACCGCACCAGCACCATGTAACTAAGCGTAGCATCAAGCTCGTGTATGGCTTACCTCCTTCTCCACCGATAACCCAGAAGCCGAGGAACTTATCATACCAGAGAAGAGCTTTTTTTCGTGCATTCTCATCCCTCTCGGTGTCTTCTTTACTCTCTGCTTCAAGTGATTCGAGAGCTGCAACAGGACGAAAACAAATAGAGTGTTATCACTGGCATTTTACTTGATGCATTTGTTATAACCTGTGACAATACCACAACAACAACAACAACCCAAGAGACAAAAGTAGCATCGGGATAGTAGAGAAGGGCGTGCATACACCTTTAAGTTCCTCGGATGTGATTGCAGCACGCAAGTCCCTCTTCTCCCTTGAATCCGCCACCAAGCTACGGAGCCACTCATTTGTAGCCGTGGCCTCCAAGATCGACTCTGTGGCACGCTTGCGTTTCGATTCCTTGGACGACTGAACTGCAAAGGGCGGAGCGGAACCGGATTTCAGTCACCGTAGCAGCACGGCCTCTCGTGAGCCAACCCCAACAGACCAAAATGTAATGTAGTGGACAAAGGTTTGCTGCGCGTACGTGCGACAGCCTCGGTGAGCTGCGACTGGAGGTCCCGGAGCTGATTCTTGAGTCCCTTGAGCTGCTCTGCAGACAGGAACACCGAACACCTTGAGCTGAACTGAACCGAAGCGAGGGGGGAGGTCGGGCGGGAGGACGGGCGGCGGCGGCGGCAGTACCTCGGCGCGAGAAGGTCTGGTCGGCGAGGGACCGGGCCGGGGCGAGCTTCGCGGCGAACGCGTCCGTCGCGGCCCTGGCGCGTTGCGCGGCCTTTTGGCGCTGAATCGCCGCCGCCACAGCCGCCCGATCCGGCGCGCCTCCCCCGGCTCCAGCAGGCGCGGCGGCGGCGGCGGTCTGACGGCGGAGGGCGGCAGCCAAATGCTGCTCGAGGTCGGACCATGACGACGACATCCGCTGCTCCTCCGACTCCAGCGGATCCCTCGAGCACGGGGGCTCCTCGTCTCCTCCAGATTCCTTCCAACCGAACGGCTCGAGGACTTGCGCGGAAGGAAAAAATTGAAAAAATGACACTCTAAAATTGACTCTTTATTACGACGACGCTCGGATGGACGACGAGCAGGTGTACCTCTGTCTATGAATCGCCGCCGCCACAGCCGCCCGATCCGGCGCGCCTCCCCCGGCTCCAGCAGGCGCGGCGGCGGCGGCGGTCTGACGGCGGAGGGCGGCAGCCAAATGCTGCTCGAGGTCGGACCATGACGACGACATCCGCTGCTCCTCCGACTCCAGCGGATCCCTCGAGCACGGGGGCTCCTCGTCTCCTCCAGATTCCTTCCAACCGAACGGCTCGAGGACTTGCGCGGAAGGAAAAAATTGAAAAAATGACACTCTAAAATTGACTCTTTATTACGACGACGCTCGGATGGACGACGAGCAGGTGTACCTCTGTCTACGAATACTACGGGTTCAGTGTCGAATCTATAAACGACTGATTGTTTCGAATCCAACGTCATAACACCAAAACTAGAACAAGAGATATAACAGTTGTAGTCTATTCGTATGAGGCCACCATCCTGACAATTATTGGAGGAAAACTCTGGTGTGAGTCGTGAGACGAGCAAGCCTCGAACTCACGACCGGCTGCTCACCACTTGAGCACTATGCCGTCCGAGCTACGGCTCAGTCCCCAGAGGGGAGGGAATTGAATTGGGGGATTTTGCAACAGGAGATGGAGATGAAGATGGAGAGCCAGATTGGGCTGGATGGTCGGCCCATCTATCCTTTATTATTGTTTGGGCTTTGATGGGCTTGGCGAGACGTATGCTCAGTTCAAGGGCCCAGATTAGTTTAGTCCAGGCGTGAGTAATTGCGTTGGAGTGGCAATACAAAACAATACTACCTTATGTGTTCTGGAGGAGACAAGGAGAATACTGATACTATGATACGTAATCGGTAATCCTGGGTATACGACGTCCGTCCGCTTGGACGGTGTCGATGGTGGGCCGCGACGCAGTCCAATGACCGCTCATCCACTTGCCTTCGCCCCCAACCGTTATTAAAAAAAGAGAGAAAAAGCCTTCTTATGCCTTCCGCTCCCTCCTCTCCACCACATCGGCTGCCACTCCGTCCGTCCTGTCCCATCCCGAACGTGGGTGCCATCGCCTCGCCGCCTAGAAGTACGCCCATCCGCACCACTCGCTTGTTTCGCGTCGCGAAGCGCCTTCTCCGGTCGCGCGTGCTCGAGCCAAGACCGGAGCTGGTGGCGGTGGTGCGCGCGTGCTGGTGCTAGTGCGCTCGCCCGAACGAGCCAAGCCTGCTGCTAGCGGCAGTGGTGCTTGCGTGCTGGTGCTAGTGCGCTCGCCCGAACGAGCCAAGCCTGCTGCTAGCGGCAGTGGTGCTTGCGCGCCGTCACTCGCTGCTGGTCCAACCCCGGTGGCTAGAATCGACCGGCCTCGGCCTTCCCTCTCCTATGTTGCATATGTATGTTTCAATTGTTTCATACGTTTTAGATGTATGTTGCAATTGTTCTATTTTGATATTGCAAAAATAGATCGGGGGATGTTGCATATGTTGCAAGTATTTCATATGCATGTTGCAAGTATTTGTTCAAAATGTTTCATTTGTTTCCATACGTATGTTGTAATTGTTTTTTATCTGGATGTTGCGTATGCTTCACACATATGTTGCAACAGTATATTCCAAAATGTTTGAGCTGCTTTAGTTTTATGTTGCAGCAAAATGGTTTCGTGTTGCAAGTGTTATTTTTTTTATGTTTCATGTGTTCCACACACATGTTGCAAGTGCATGTTCTAAGTGTTTCATCTATTTTCAGACGTATGTTGTATTCATTTTTTTATGTTGCAAGTGTCAGGAGGGCGGTGCTGTGGCGCGTGGAGGGTTTGAGATGGGGCGGGGACGGGTGCTTCTTGGCTGAGGCACGCTAGGTCCCGGCTCTCGAGAGTCGTCCACGCAGAGAGAGAGGAGCGGGTCTGGGGAATGACCGGCGGGCGCAGATACGGGGCAGGGCAAATCCGAACAGAGGGTGGGGCAATGGCGGACTGGGGCGGGCTGCGCGCGCGTCCATTCGGACGTCCGGGCGTTAGCCACGTCGATAATGCTGGGTATAGGACGTCCGTCCGCCCGTGTCATTATATTAATACAAGACCACATTTTATAAAAAAAAACTATTTATAGATATAATGTTGATATTATTTTCTATAAATGTAGTCGTACTTAAGAATGTTGGACTCCTCGAGAAATGAGATTCATATTCATTTTGGATTTAGAGAGAGTGTTTTACTACGGCAGCGGAAGAAAGTAGTAGCCTTGAACGCCCATCTTAGTTTATTTATTTATATCTACGTCTCTACATTCTATCTAATATAAATATTTAAAGAAGAAATTTTTTCTCTCCTACTTTTTCGTCACTACGTATCGCACCGCGCCTCACTCTACTCCATAGTCCATCTGTATCTCACCCTTTGTCGTCTTACGTATTTTCAATCGAAATTCAGACCACATTTCCGATCCAAATCTAGCATAGTCCAAATTCAATACGAGACCATATTTCATCTAGACACATACAGAGTTTGATTTTAAAATATACATCAGAACAAAACATAAATATCCAAAACGCAAGCTGTACATGTGACTGAGCAACCAACTCTATCGCAACGCATGGTTTTTTACTTTTTATATATTCTTTTTTTAGACTTATTTTTTTTTATATTCTGGGTAATGGTCGAATCAGTGGTCGTATCGTGTCGTGCGCTCCTACTGTGTACCCACTACCCAGTGTGTCTCGTGTCCCTTGTCTCTGTCGACGATGATGATCAAACACACACTCGAAGAAGACTGCAGCTTCGGATAAGATAAGATGAAACGACTGATTTTCCAGTGGAAAACACAGAGAAGGCAACAACATTGATCCGAAGAAGCAACTCCAACTCTGTCTGACGCTGCTGACTTGTAGCCATCCATGTCCATCCGTCTCCTCTCCTGCGGGCCGCTGCGCGAAAAGATCTGTCCGGACTCCGGACCCCTGAGACGCCGCCGTGGCCCCGTGGAGCAGAGCCACACGTTGTCCCGCCCCGACCTTCCCCGTTGCAGCTGGCTGCCTGGCTGGTGTGTGTCCTCCACGCAACCGCTACTCCCTCGACCTGCTGGCAGGCGCAACACGACGACGGCCAGTTGATTGCCCGATTTGGTTGCCCTCTGTTCTGTAATCTGTTCCCTTTCCCCTCCGCGCCGCGCTCCCTTGTCCTTCTCCCTTCTCCCACTCGAGAGCTGCAGGGAGGTCGCCAAGTCCGACGACGAGAGAAACAGCTGCCGTTTCGGCTTCAGCGTATGGCGGCCGCCGCCCCGGTGGCGCCCGGGAGCGGCTGCCTCAGCCGCCCGCGCCCGCGCCCGCCCTGGGTGCGGCGGCGCGGCGCGAGGGTCGCCGCGGCAGCGGCGGCGGAGGGGCCATCCTGCCTCTACGTGGGGCCAATCGAGACCGCCAGCCAGGAGAAGCTCGAGGCGCTCTACCACCAGGTGCTTCTGCCTTCCCCTCCTTCTCCATGCCAGAAATGAGCTTCTTTTATACTAGAAAGAAGATTGTTCAGTTCTTGCTGGGAGTATACGGATTGCACACACTATAGTGCAGTAGTCTGCCGCATCAAGTTCATTAGCTGCCAGCCATTAACATGCTCTTAAACCCTGTGCTGTGTGCGTGCAGGCCAGGGATTCCTACTACAGCGGTCAGCCATTGATCGTCGACGACATGTTTGACAAAGTCGAGGTAAAGTGAAATTCGAGCTGCACTTTGCCAATTAGCTGATAGCTAACCTCACCACATACATATTCAGAGTTTCAGACTCCAAATTCGTAGTAAACCAGATTCCAATTTCCAGCAGCTCTTCTTCTGACGAACCATACGCCCTTTGCAGCTGAAGCTCCGGCTTTACGGCTCCAAATCTGTCGTAAAATACCCCCGTTGCAGCCTCATAAGGCAATCGACCTACGCCGACGCCGAGGTAACCTTTCGCGTTTGTTTCCCATCTAAACTTAATCCCGTTCGCTCGGTACTAAGGCTATTGGCTTATGCTCCGATGTTTTATCGGCCTTTGGGTATAGGGCAGGAGGACCAAGCGATGTTTATGGCATTGTCAAGCATCTGGATGTTGCTCCTCCTGTTCGGTACCTCAGCCTTTCTTGTTCCTAGTCTGTACACTCTGAGCATCGCGTTCGGGGATGTGTTTGGAGCAAGGCACCTCCTGTACAGTGAAAAGTCCCTTGATGCGATAACAAGAGTTAACGACTTGGTTTTGGTTGGATTGGGGCATCTAGTTGGTTATCCCATCGCTTCAGCGTCCGGTGAGGATGCAGATATGTCAATTCTCGCTTTTGCTGTCATGTTTGTACATCTCATATCTTAATTTCTACACATGGTAAACCCTCTGGTTGGTTGTTTCAGTTGGTGCGCTGCGGGGCTTATTGACAAACAATTTGGTTGCACTAAAAGGGTCCTGCCCGAATTGTGGTGAGCAGGTTAGGTTCAGTTCAAGTAGTAATGTAATGATAGTAATCAGTTATCATTCTGCTTATCATTTATTCGTAATCATCTGGTGATCTGAGAAACTTGAGCATGTTGATGTCAGGTATTTGCATTTGTCAAGACTGATAAATCCGTTCGAGCACCTCATAGAGCAGAATGTCATGTCTGTGAGTGCCCTTTGGAGTACCGCACGAAAATTGAGGTACACGGAACACCTGTATTTTCATGCTACTTTGCAATATCAAAATGTTGGCAAAAGAAATGAAGTCAAATTATGATTTTCGGATGGCAATGCATGCAAAACAACACAATTTCCTTTTTCAGAGTACAATGACATCTGCTGATCTGCACCAAGATTGTGTTGTATATAAAAAAAATCTGCTACCCCTTAGCATTGTACATGTTCAGCTCCTTAACTGTGACACATTTCGCATTCAAAACCAATGCTGCAATGCACTAATGAATCACATGTGCTTAATAAAGTTATTTATTATTTATGGGCTCGATTCCAGATTTTCATAGGGTTCACAAGTGGGTGAATTCACTATAGATTTGTTTTCCCACTACAGAATATGGCATCTTAGTTTTTCCCCTTTCTCATGGTGTTCTGCAGAAATCTTTGTCAGGGCCTAGAAGAAGTTGGGTCTACGGCCGGGTTTATCTAGTGAAGCAAGGGCATCCTAGGAAACGGAAATGGATAAATGACTAAAATTCTAATTGCAGCTGATGAAGAAAGTTTAGATAATCTGATGAGATGGAGCCCTTCTGATCGGCTGAAACATTTTTCAGATGCCACTCTTATTGATCAGAAGGGCTTACTGTGTACGAATCATTTTAAAGATTTGATCAAGCCAAGTGTTTTGTAAAACAGATACATTCCTTTCTGAGATGTGTCCATACGCAGCAGATGAACCCATGCTGCATTATATTCTTTTCTGTTTTCTGTGTTTAGATAAACCCATAGTACAACAATTTGGATAAAGAACTGCTCAAGAGGTTACGAAAGTGTCATTGCTATCAGGAGGGAGGGTCACTGAAAGGCCGACGCTCTGCACCAACATGCTTAATCATTTGATCGAAGATGATTAATTTATCGTGGATAACTCAGCATGTATCCAGACTTGTTCAAATGTGATGTGTTGTACAAGTATATGTATGAAGTTTTCAGGGTTAATATATGTTCTCAGATTCATTTACCCGAATCTGGAACCTGTCTTGATGTCTGATAACACTTGATCAATTGCATCCGTTCTACCCTCAGATTATATTCATAAGATGACACAAAGCAGCTTGCAGAGTTTTAACAGCGGTTGAGCTGTTTGGCTTGAACAAAATTTCATAACACTCTCGACTGGATGTAATTATGTATTTACATACTGTACTTTACAAAGACTTGAAAATGTAAAAGCTACATGGGCAGACCCAGTGCCGGAGGCTCCCACATGAGTGGAGTCTAGGGAAGGGATAAACCGAGACAAGCCTTTCTCCCGTAAAATCTGCGGAAAGGCTGCTTCAAACCCACGACCTGGTGACTCAGTGAGACAGCTCTCACCACTGCACCAGGCCATGATAGACACAAAACATCCAGAACTCTGCCTCTTTACAAACCCCTCTATGAACCTACTATATTACCTACACCTACAAAAGGGGAAAAAATACTCTAGCATATAATCCACTCACTCAAACTGGTTTTACAGAAGGAGCAGGCTTCCCCTTCACTGCCACTTTGACACCATTGTTGTCCATGCTCCGACTGCTTGGCCTCTTCTGTAGGTGATGGTTACCTCCTTCCTTGGCGTCCTGGAGCTGTTCTAAGGCCGTTACCACCTCATCCATGCTGGGCCTGTGCCTGGACTCCACTGAGAGGCATTGCAGGGCAAGTGCTGCAGCCTTCTGCGCCCTAGCAAGGGAGTACTGCCCGCCCAGCCGGGGATCCAGGATGCGAAATATGCGCCTCTTACTTCTCAGGTATGGCCTAGCCCACTCTACAAGGTTGTGCTCCCCGTTCGGGCGGTTCTTGTCCAGTGCTCGGCGTCCTGACAACATTTCTAGGAGTACTACTCCGAAGCTGTACACGTCACTCTTGGTGGTCAGATGACCTTCACAAGGAACAATGACATTTGTCAGTAGGTTCAGTAATTAGATTCAAAATGACTCTTAAGACTGGCAGAAGTATGACCATGAATATAGTGTGAATGAGACTTTTTTTTTTTGCTACAATCCAACCATGCATGTTTCGGACAGATTTGGTTAAATTTTAGCAATATAATTCCAATCATTTGAGTGCAATTCATGGCTCATGATGCTAGTTGCATACGATGATCTGGAATCTAGAACCACCGCAATACCTGTTGCAAGGTATTCTGGAGCTGCATACCCATAAGTCCCCATCACCCTGGTGGAGACATGGCTCTTGTCACCAGTTGGACCATCCTTGGCCAGCCCGAAATCAGAGAGCTTTGCATTGAAGTTCTGCAGAATATTTGTCGCTATGAGCTCAACCAAACCAACAGAGCTATTCTGTTTGTACAAGGATACGACTACTGAATATTACATACCGCATCTAGAAGGACATTAGAGGTCTTGAAATCACGGTAGATGACTTTAGCTTCATCGCTATGGAGATATGCAAGACCTTTAGCTGCTCCAAGGGCAATTTTCATTCGTAGGTTCCAGGGCAGTGGCTGGAAATAGGAGCTCCCTGCATAATAACGAAACATTTTATTACCATTCCTTCAAATGTGAGAAAGAGCAGTAAGTAGCAGCAAAAAGGAAGGGCAGATGCTTACTCCTAAATAGATGATTCTCCAAACTCCAGCGTGGCATGAACTCATAGACAAGGAGGCGCTGTTCGTCTTCGAGGCAGTAGCCAACGAGCTTTACAAGATAGGGGTGCGACAGCGTGCCAAGGTAATTCACTTCAGTCTGCACATCAAAGGAACTGCACGTTATACAAAACACAAAACTGGCACGAAACAGCAAGTGGCTTCTGCCCAACAAACAATAACTCCATGCAGATACTAACCAGCCACTCCTTGTGACCCTGGAAGCCTTCCTGGTTGAGCTTCTTGACGGCAATGACCATCCCTGTGCCCGGTCTAGTCGGGCGAGCGTCTTCTCATCAATCCAGCCCTTGAAGACCGAGCCAAACCCACCCTCGCCCAGCACACTGTCTGGTCTGAAGTTCCTGGTGGCGGTCCTCAGCTCATTGAAGGTGAAGGCCTTGACGTTTGCCGACTCCAGAATCTCATCCTCGCTGCGGGGGGTTGGCAGCATCGACGCGGATGAGGCATGGCTGCTGCAGCCGCTCAAGGCTGCTGTCCCATTCCTGCTAGCGAACTTGGAAGTTGTCCCTGACGATCATCAAGAAAAACAATAGAAATTCAGAATTTCGTGCATCATATTCATTTCCCTGCCGAATCAAGCTAGCTGCCAGTACATCTTATTACAGTTTATCAGGGGTATTTATATTCCTTTTTTCGGTATTAATAAAGGGAGAAAGAAAAGGAAAAGAATCCATGAACGAAGTTAGAAGTAGGTGGCAGTGGCACCAAAACTGAAGTTTCGTCTTTACTTCCTTAGCTTGGCTTAGAAACAAAACAAGTAAACCTTTTGTCGTCGTGAAGCAGTCAAAAACATTGAAAAACGGGCAAGGATTTAGCAGAAAGGTAGCACCAAAATCTGAACGTTTAATCCAGTGCCGTCAGTGGCATGGCATGTGAGGAAAAAGTCCTATAAAGTGAGCTGCGCTACCAATACCATTCTCATATCATAACACTGAAATACTACAAACAATCGTCTCCGGAAACTGGAAAACGAAAGGCTTTGGCCTTAAGCACATGGAAGGATCCAAGAGGTCGAATCGTATGTGAAAACTGAAAACAGACATGTTTCTTTTGAGCACGCGCGGGCGGCAGGCACTAGGTGCCAAAGTATGTGATGGCAGTGATCATACACGCGGACACAGCCTGTGATGAGCCGATTGATTGATTGGTTTTATATATTATATATGAAAACTAAAAGGGGATTAGCAGCAGCTAGTGTCGAAATGAACGGAGGAGAATCGCAGAGGAGGACAGTTGGACGACGAAAGGGGAAGAGCACAAAAGGCTAACATGATTGATTGATGATGGAATAAATTAAATTAAGCGATCCAAAGAAGAAGAAGAAGAAGAAGAAGAAGAAGAGAGGAAGGAACCTGATGGGGAGATGGCGCCGCGGGACGGGCTGTCGGAGCTGATCTTGGCGCCCCAGCAGTTGCCCATGGCGACGAGCACGCGCTGGCTGAACCGCTGAACGAATCCTCGAGACGAACGCCGCGGGCTCGATCAGAAACGCCGGCTCTGGGCTCGAATCTTGATCCCCAGGGCCCGGAGCTCGCTCGTCACGGCGGAGAAGAGCACGAGAGCTGCAAGAATCAACCGGCGCGTCGAGCCGGATGCTGTGTGTGTCTGCCCGAAACTGCCAAATCTTCTCCAGTGTCCCAGTCTCTCAGAGTCAGAGAGAGGGTAGAGGGGTAGAGGGAGGAGGTAGGAGATTTGGGAGAGCAGCCCAGCACAAGCAAGCAGAGCAGAGGAGAAAAAGGCGAGACCTTTTTGGGCGGGCGGGCGGACGAGGGTGGGGTGGGGAGGGCAACGCAAGGGGGCGGCAGAAAAGCCGGTGGTTTCCCTTTCCGGGTCACGCACCCTGCGTTGGCCTGCACTGCCAAGGGGGGCTGAACAACTTTCGCGCCACCACCGTCAGGGGCCGGGCCTCCCTCCCTCCGATACCGCCTGCCTGCCTGCCGCCGCTTCTTCTAGAAGTAGGAGCAGGAGGGAGATTCAGCCGCCATTAATGGCGGGCTGGGCGGGGCGAATGGAGGGGAAAGGCTCACTCGTCTCTGGGTGAGAAAGCGAGAGGGCGAGCGAAGCTGCTGCTGGTTGGCTCCCCACCCCCTTTCCTTTCCTTTATTTATTTTTGCCTGCCGTCACCCCACGTGAGGGCCCCGTGCCCGTCCGATGCGCATCGGACGGAGGTGACGCCTTCCGTGGTGGGTAGGAAACGGGAATGAATATTAAAATAATATAATAATTGATTGCCGGCGCACGGCTCTGTCCACTGTCCTCTCTGGAGTCCAAAGAGGCACAACCTGTGCTGTCTCGCTGACTAATCCTAGACGTTGTCCATTTATTCATTCATTTCCGTTTGGTATGTAAAATGTTTATCCATTTGGTCATCTTTTGAGGCATGAAAGTGGCCTTTTTTTGTGTGTGTGGTTGGCTGCGCTGCGACGCCAAATCGTGACCAAATGCAAATGCAAGCAAGAAACGTCCGTACGTTGTTTCGCGCTTGCGTGACGTCCGTAGGTCGTACGTATTCAACCATATTTATTCATTTTATTTATGTTATTTTAATTTTACTTTGAAACAAAAAAATGAGCAGCGGCGGCGCTCGTTACTTACTCTTACTAGTACTCTATTAATTAACTTGTTTTGGTTTTGTTTGCAAACGGTGGAGAGGCAATCAGGCAAATATAATAATATAAGGTGTCAACAAATGATGGCATGCGCGCACACGTCCGTTCACACGCAAAGGTCACTCATTGTACTAGTTGATGTTTCCATTGCCAACCTACCTAGGGCAACCACAAAGAGAGAGCCGTCCTATGATGTCAACAATAATTAATTGATTGATTACTCTATTTGAATAATTAGTCTACATATACAAGGTGATGTAATACAACTGTCTGATGGTGTCCATGATACATCGAGGCGAGGCACAGCCGCACAGGGCAATAGGGCATGCTACAACTATAATGTTTTGGACACTCTTTGATTCAAACAAAAAAAAGTGATTAGGTAATGGTGGAAGCATATGCTCTAAGCGAAGGGTTGATGGTAGCTCAACATATTGAGGAGGCAGCCGTCTGATTGTCCGGTCCAACTGTAAGGAGGCTGTCGAAATTATGGGTAATGCAGGTTTCACTGTTAAATCAGTTGTTGCAATATATGATGAATGCAACATCGTTTTGGGATGATTCCAGGAGATATCCATTGAGCATAAAAGCAGGGAAGCAAACCAGGTGGCACATGAATTAGCCAAGCGAGTGATGTTTACAAAGGAAAATTGTATCTAGGACAATGATCCCCCTAGTTTTATTGTTGATGTGTTATCAAATGATGTAACTATTCTCAATAATAAAGCTCACGATTTGTCAAAAAAAAGTGATTAGGCGCCGAGCCAAATGATAAACCTTGGCAACACAGGCGAGTCAATGTTTCTTCAAAAAAAAACACAGGCGAGTCAACTTGGGATAGCTAGCTCCATCCCTAATGCAAATAGCAAATCTCGCAAAAACAAAACAAAATTAAGGCGATATATCCATGCATGCATCCATCCATATCCATCCATCGTTATCCGGCCCGGAGCTAGCTAGCTAGCATATGCATATAGCGTGTGCGTATGGATGGATCGGACAAAATATTACTTTTTGATGGCCGCCAAGTTGCTCCTTGTGATGTACACGTTCACAGGGATTGGACAAGGACAACTTAACCACTCGAGAACATGAGCTGAGATTCAGCATTATCGTTTCGGCTCAATTAGCTTATAAGTCATGGCTGAAAGTACTGCTGACTGATTTGTTGTGAGAGAAAAACACTGTTTAAACCATAGATTATAAGTCAAATACGAGCGAATACGCCGAAACAAATATGCTGATTGTTATCAATTGGGTTCAACAGGTACTAGCCAGAAAAGAAAACCAATACTCTTATTACTCGTACGTTCCATATAGCCACATTCTTAGATTTACCTAGTCCAGGCAATTAAATGCCAGCTTATCCATCCGTTGAACAAAAAAAGGTTGGTTGTCACGCACAATTTCACTTGTTACTTTCAGCCAGTCCAAACCAACCAGCCAACAGTGTTTTTCTCTCACAAAAAACCAGCACCAGCCAGCTCAAACCAGCACCAGCACCCACCAGCGAACAGGCCCAATGTTTTTCTCTGTCAATCGGGCATGTTCGTTGGTCGGTGCTGGTGCTGATTTTGGCTGGCTGATGCTGGTTTTTTTGAGAGAAAAACAATGTTGGTTAGCTGGTTTGGACTGGCTGAAACCAACAAGCGAACAGGCTGATCGTTTACCTGGTACTAGTCCAAGGGGTTAGGTCGGCGGGTTTGGTGTGCAGTGGCACCTCAAAGAAATTGTATTGATGTGAATGTGATCTGGGGACTCTTCAGCCCGTTAGCTTGATCGTATTTGATTTATAAGTTATGGTTTATCAATCAACGAATAATATTTTTCTCTCACACCAAACCAGCCAACAATATTTTTAGTCATAGCTTATAAGCCAAACAAGCCCAAATAAACAGGGCGCTTGATTGTGAATTGCTGCAAATTCAGACCCCATTCAAAGTAAGATTAAACTAGAAAATGGTGAACCAATTATTTTTTCGACGATCTGACTCCTTCGTAGACTATACAAAGGATCAGACTAGAAACCGAAACCATTTGGAGCCATACCCAACAAGGCCGTGAGGGCACCACTAGTAGACCTCATTTTTTTTCACACCGCTAGTGGTCTCCGTTGAATTGTATGCACATCGCCGGCCGTGTGCGTGCACACGTGAGAGCTTGCATGTGTTGGAGCGACTCCTCTTTCTTCTTTGGCTTGCTCCTAGTTTTGTCTCGCCTCCAGGGAACACGCAGTCTGTACACGACGCAAAAATCACAAAAAGAATGACAAAAAAAATGCACATGTTTGGTAACTCCGACACTGCAGTAACATTTTTCCTGGTGGAGAGCCGTGCACGGCGAATACAAAATTTGGCTTTTATTGGTCCGCCTTTTGAAAAGGCTGTCGCCCCGATTTATCGGGAGGCCTTATCAAATGAAGTAAAGAAATGGCAGCAGCCGGGTTTGAACGAGGAGCCAAGCTAAAACTTTTAGTTTCCTACCGTACCGATTTCTCCTTAAAAATACTCTCCAAAACCGTTTTGCTAAACGCCTTTTTCTAGAGTTTTATCTCCATTAGAAAAAACTAATAGGAGAGGCTACACCTAAGTGCCATTTTAGGAGGATGTAGAGCTCTGCCAAATATGCCGTCCTAAGCTAGCTTCCGGGGGAGTGCTAAGCTAGTGTGCTCCTCAATTGTATTGTTTCTATTATGCAAATAGTAACAATAAACTATGAGTTTGAATCTTTTAAGATAATTATAAAAACTTTCTTGGACGCAACTATAGAAGTTTTTACTACCTACGTTTGTGGGCTCCGTTTGGCTTACCTTATATCTGGCTTGTTCGGTTTTTTTTAATCAGAACAATATTTTTCTCTCACAACATTTCAGCCAGAACAGTGTTTTTCAACCACTTTCAGCCAAGTTTCAGCAAGCCGAACGGGCCTAATAATGGGTTTGGGTTGAGTCAAACCTCCATAAATTTTACCAAGTTTAAACAAAATAGTATTATCATTTATAACTTTAAATATATATGTTATAAAAAAAATATATTCCATGATTAATAATCTCCTAAAGATAGTGAGAGTTGCTTTTTTTTAGAACGGAGGATGTACGTGTGCATTGGTCAAGCCTGCCGAGCTAGCTGGCCGTCTCGGTTGTCGTCGACCAAACAAGCTACTAGATCTTCTTAAATATATAATAAACAATAAAAGCGTTGTTATACAGTCAGTTTGGTAAAAGTTTTCTTACTCCTTCTCGCCACCGCATCTATTCATGTTACTTCACGGTCTTGCCAACCTGGACCGAACGTCACATGCTACAGGTCCCCAGTGGCACAGAAGCATCAGTAGCACACAAGGACCTGTTCCCATGGGAACGAATATTTTAGCACTTCTCCTATATACATTTCAGGTGCTTGAATTTTAAAATAATTTCATATAACACTCTTGCACCATGACTAGTACAAGTAAATTATTATTTTTTGTGATTTTTTATTTGTCTTTATATCATAACATATCAAATTTTTGTCCTTGTCTAACTATAAAAACAATTGTAAATTGTTAATCGTCTTTGTGCTAGCACAAACCAGATTTTGGTAGGTTTGTAGTTTTGTCTAACTGATTTTTTTATTCTCAAAACAAAAGATTGCAGAATGTATCTACCGAAATTGTAACGAATTTAACTAAAGCTACAATTTTAATAAAAAAATGCAATAAATATCGTTTGAAAGAAAACTAAAATTTAGGCACCTAGATTTTAGTAAGTCTCTTAATTTTGTGAAGGTGGAGTATCCCAAAGGAAGACACGCTGGTCCAAAAAATGTTGTT